CAGCAAGTGTGATAACTACAGGGGCATCACTCTTCTCTCAATACCGGGAAAAGTCTTCAACAGGGTATTGTTAAACAGGATGAAGGACTGCGTAGACGCCCAACTTCGTGACCAACAGGCAGGATTCCGTAAGGATAGATCGTGTACAGACCAAATCGCAACTCTACGGATCATTGTGGAACAATCAATTGAATGGAATTCATCACTCTACATCAACTTCATTGACTACGAAAAGGCATTTGATAGCGTGGACAGAACAACACTATGGAAACTTCTTCGACACTACGGCGTGCCTCAGAAGATAGTCAATATCATACAGAACTCATATGATGGATTACACTGCAAAATCGTGCATGGAGGACAGTTGACAAAGTCGTTCGAAGTGAAGACCGGTGTTAGGCAAGGTTGCTTACTCTCACCCTTTCTCTTTCTCCTGGTGATCGACTGGATCATGAAGACGTCAACGTCTGAAGGGAAGCGCGGGATACAATGGACATCTAGGATGCAGTTGGACGATCTAGACTTCGCAGATGATCTGGCCCTTCTATCCCAAACGCAACAACAGATGCAGGAGAAGACGACAGTGTGGCAGCAGCCTCAGCAGCAGTAGGTCTCAATATACACAAAGGGAAAAGCAGGATTCTCCGATACAACACAGAATGCACCAATCCAATCACAATTGACGGAGAAGATTTGGAAGATGTAAAAACCTTTACATATTTGGGCAGCATCATTGATGAACAGGGTGGATCTGATGCAGATGTGAAGGCGCGGATCGGCAAAGCAAGAGCAGCATATTTACAACTGAGGAACATCTGGAACTCAAAGCAACTGTCAACCAACACCAAGGTCAGGATTTTCAATACAAATGTCAAGACAGTTCTACTGTATGGGGCAGAAACCTGGAGAACTACGAAAGCCATCATCCAGAAAATACAGGTGTTTATTAACAGTTGTCTACGCAAAATACTTCAGATCCATTGGCCGGACACTATTAGCAACAACGTACTGTGGGAGAGAACAAACCAGATCCCAGCGGAGGAAGAAATCAGGAAGAAGCGCTGGAAGTGGATAGGACACACATTGAGGAAAGCACCCAACTGCGTCACAAGACAAGCCCTCACATGGAATCCTGAAGGTCAAAGGAAAAGAGGAAGACCAAAGAACACATTACGCCGAGAAATGGAGATAGACATGAGAAAAATGAACAAGAATTGGATGGAACTAGAAAAGAAGGCCCAGGACAGAGTGGGTTGGAGAATGCTGGTCAGCGGCCTATGCTCCATTGGGAGTAACAGGCGTAAGTAAGTAAGTAAGTAAGATATTGAATGTGAATCTACATATTTGTGTTCATAATTTGAATAATTTGCCTATTCACAAATTTCATTAAAACAGAACAGAATTGAAAAGGAAAGGAGGGAAAGGTAATACATTATACGGTTCATTGGAATGTTGATAATCATTTATCTGCTCCAGTTCGTAAATTAATTAATTAATTCAATGTAGGTTAATCAACTTTGATTATTTCTAAATAAATATTGAAATATCAGATAGGTTTTGTGGATACCATAGTAATTTTAATGGTTAAAATCATGAGTCAGTTGAAGCTAGACCACTATAGAGAACCTGGAAGCACAACGCCTTCTGATAGTAATCGATATGTGCTTACTAGTGACTGGCTTCAAGAGGTATATCCTGAAGTTCTAGTGTGAAGTAAAGACCAGTGGAGTTCAACCGGGTCTGTTGTGAGATAGTAACTCACTGAAGACAGTGGTGGATGTATCGCTCAGTGATCTAGTGGCTAACGGATCGCGCGCGGAACCAGTAAGCTCCGGGTTCGAGTCTCGCAGGGGACGAGGTTGTGGATGCGCACTGGTGAGGAGTCTCACAATAGGACGAAACGGCTGTCCAGTACTCCCAGGTTTTCGATGGTGGTCTAGCTTCAACCGAATCATGATCTTAACCGTTGAATATTGAAATAATGGTATACTTTTAATGAATGAATATTGCAATGAAATACAAAATAAACCTTCTTTTAAGATTACAAGTACATCTTGATGATGAGTGGTGAGTAGTACAAAATTTAGGTCCAGGGTTTGCTGTTGACGACTACATTCAACTACCATCTTTTTTCAACTATAAGGCATGTAATATCGAGTCACCTAGGCTACTGGCCACATTGAAACATGATTGATAGGATTCGATTTGCACTAAGAAGGACCTGACACATATGACAGTGATCACCATCTAGTGATCAGTCTATTATAATCTTCCATAATATTTATTATAGTACACTTCATACCTGTTATATCCATAAATAGTTTTAAAATAACTAATTAATAGTGTTCACTGATTGAAACTTAAAGAATAGTTCTAATCTATGCTCGGAGATATTGGATGATATGATTTGAAATTGTTATCATTGACACAGTTGTATTCATTCAGTGTCTTTCTTGATCGAACAATAAGATTAGATCGACTCTTCTCGTTTTTAGTTAATACTTATCAACAAAGTGTAACTACAGTCTTGAAGAAATTAATGCTTTCAGTGAGATTCGAATCTATTTCATCCTAGTTTAACAGCTTGAGATGTTCCGAATGAGCTATTCAGGCAGCAAATGACCTTCGGTAGGACAGAGGTATGGTGACCGATTTCATATGCTCTCAAAATTACAGGTAATTCTTCCTGACGAATTTCAACATGGTCAAAATTGTGATCCAGGATTCCTTTTCGATTACTTCCAATCACTAAACACGAAAATGCAATTCTCAATATCACAAGGCACTTAGACAAGTGGCCACATTTTAAATTGATCAATGGAATTTTGCCATCACTAAAGACTAAGCAAACACGACACTGGTCAATATTCAATTATCAGTCAACTGTATATCTACACCTCACTTAAAATGTGATCGCTATTATGAGCTGACAGTTGAAAAAACTATTGCAACTCAAAGATTACTGTATAATATGAAGTTTCCATAAAACCCATAAGACTTTTCGACAGTGCGCAGAGATCGAACCCAATACCTTCTAGTCTTGAGACAGACTCTTAATCTTTAGATCAGTAAGTGAGTACCTAATGGTTTACATTTCTAATATACGTCAGATGATTGAAGAGAGATGACAAGAAGCAATAAAATGAAGTTCCCAGCTAGGTAACACTTAATAGACAACGTTCTTTATTTTTAAATGAACTAAATTTCTCTTAGAGATCAGAACTTTTATAACTTGTGGCCTTTGTGCTCCTATCAATATATGATGTGATGATAGCGCCAATTAGATAACAGTGACTTATCAACCGGTCCTGCTTTCCACCTAGCCTTGCTTGTTAAATTTCGGTTTCCTTAAGATTGCTAACACAGTACTCTTCTGAGAATAGACCATTGAACTTTCTAGAGTTAACGCAAATTTATCACATACAAATCACTGACTTAGTGTCTAGTAGTTTATACGTTTAGATTCAGTTCATTTTATGATACGGGACTCATTTCATCAGTGATAAATGCTTTACTTCCAACATGACTGACTTTTCCGGTTTCATTAAAACTTTATGATTTCTTGTAGACAGCCGCCAATAAACAGATGAGTCAATTGAAGATAGACCACCATGGAAAACCTGAAAGAACTAGATGATCGTTTCGTTCCAGTATGGGACTTCTTATTAGTAAGAATACACGATCCCACACTAAAGGGACTCGAACATAGCACCGTCGGTCTCATGCGTGAATGCTTATTCTCTAGACTACTGAGCCGACATCCAACAGTGTTGATGATGTCTAACTTCAATGAATCCACGAAATTGCACTACCGTCCACTAACGTCTTCAGTGAGTTATTTATCACACAACAGATGCGGTTTAACTTCACTGGTCACTGCTTCTCATTAGAACTTCAGGAAATAACTCTTAGAAACAGTTATTAATGAGCATATGATGATTATAATCCGAGAGAGGGGTTTCGTAGAGATTTTAGTAATTTAATAGTTGAATTCATGAGTCATTTCAAGCTAGACCACCATGGAAAACCTGAAAGCAATGTTAAATAACTATTAAATTAGTAAAATCTCCATAAAACCCCACTGTGTTTGTTATTAGAATGAAAGATTTTACGATCCATGTATCTGAAAAGACCCACATTACGATATAAAAGTTATCTGCTGTTTCTTTTTATTTCACCTCTTCAAATGATTGTCTTGAGTCAATTCAATTATCTTTACAGCCTTCTTAATCTAACCTAAACAGAATGAATGACAGCAGATACATTCAGCTGGTGAGTCCCAAATAAGGCGAAACATGCGTCAAACTGGATTTCACTGGTAGCCACTATCCATTTTTTGCAATATGCATAAGATGAACATATGCCAACAAGAGACTGATCAATTACAGTCCTAAACATCAATGGGAAGATTCAAACAACTAATACTAAATGAATTTCAACTTCACCCCATTGCACAAGTAGGTGGCTATCAGAACTCAGTAGCTAAATGGATAACGTGATAGCGTTCGAAGTGAATGGTACTGAGTTCGAGTCCCTAAGTGAACATAAACGCCGAGATACAGGTACATCTAGTTGATGAGTCCCAAATAGGACAAAACGCGCATCAAACTGAATTCTACTGGTAGCCACTATTCATCTTTGCTTATAAAGAATTCATGTTAGTTTTCATCATTAAAATGAATCATGTCAACGTAGAACAAACCATTTAATTTTATTCATAAATGATTTTGTTACTATTTTAATCAGATAAAGATAAAAGAAAAACTTGTTAGAACAATTTATCTCTATACACAATACCTTTCTTCCATCTCTCTCTCTCCTTATCTCTCGCGTTGTCTATCCCTCTTTTTTCCCTTGGTCTCCCACATTAATACACACACACACACACTTACAATCATGTGCATATAAACAAAACTAATTCAATTACAGAGAAAAAGAAACTATACACACGTTGTACCAAATTGAAAATTAAAGGAAATAAAAACAACCGTTCTACAAAACTATTTGTCACATCTGTTTAATGAATGAAACATTTGACATAATGAATACAGAATAATTGTAGTAGTAGTAGTAGTAGTAGTAGTAGTAGTCGTAGTCGTAGTCGTAGTAGTCGTAGTCGTAGTCGTAGTAGTCGTAGTCGTAGTCGTAGTAGTCGTAGTCGTAGTCGTAGTAGTAGTAGTAGTAGTAGTAGTAATAGTAGTAGTAGTAGTAGTAGTAGTCGTAGTCGTAGTCGTAGTCGTAGTAGTCGTAGTCGTAGTCGTAGTAGTAGTAGTAGTAGTAGTAGTAGTAGTAGTAGTAGTAGTCGTAGTCGTAGTAGTCGTAGTCGTAGTCGTAGTCGTAGTAGTCGTAGTCGTAGTCGTAGTAGTCGTAGTCGTAGTCGTAGTCGTAGTAGTCGTAGTCGTAGTCGTAGTCGTAGTAGTAGTAGTAGTAGTAATAGTAGTAGTAGTAGTAGTAGTAGTAGTAGTAGTAATAGTAGTAGTAGTAGTAATAGTAGTAGTAGTAGTCGTAGTCGTAGTCGTAGTAGTCGTAGTCGTAGTCGTAGTAGTCGTAGTCGTAGTCGTAGTAGTAGTAGTAGTAGTAATAGTAGTAGTAGTAGTAGTAGTAGTAGTTGTAGTAGTCGTAGTAGTAGTAGTAGTAGTAGTAGTAGTCGTAGTCGTAGTCGTAGTAGTACTCATATTATTAGTATGTGGATGTTGTTTTATTTAAAATGAAGGAAGATAACAGATAAATATTACAAAGAGACAAACAATCAAATGACTTGTAGTTGACTGAATTTGTCTGGGAAATAATTCCAGTTTTGTTTTTTCCCAGAAATTGAAAGTCTCGGATAGAATAGGTAGGTCTACAATTATTATTTTAATATTTGTAAATCAGTAAATCAATGCATTTCCCCCTCTATTCTCTCTCTCTGTGTGTTTCATTTATTGATAATGTCAAATTGTACTATTGATAATGATTTTGATTATCATTGATTAGTATCATTCAATACTGAGACATAGTTTGGACTGGATTAATTACACAGATAATATGGATTCATACTAAGGATGACGACGATGATGATGATGATGATAATGAAGAGGATAACGGAGGCAGTGGTGGTGGTGGTGGTGGCAGCGATAGCAATAAGAATCATTCATTTTCAACTATATATCCCTATTTTCTTTTTCAACATTCAAAGTGGTAGGGAACAACTTACAACAGACAAGATAACTATAATGTAATTAATTCACTTGATATTGTTTTACTTGAATCTTCCCATTGATGTTTTAGGACTGAAATTGATCAGTTTCTTATTGGCATATGTGCATACTGTGCGTATGCCTCGATATTGCCTTAATTTACAAGCATTATAAGCAAAGATGGATAGTGGCTAGCAGTGGAATCCAGTACGCGCGTTTCGTCCTGTTTGGGACTCGTCGGCTGGATGTACCTGCATCTCAGAGTTGATGTTCACTCTGGGACTCGAATTCAGTACCGTTCGCTAATGTAACTATCTGTGAAATTTGGCAAATGTCATTGTTACATACATGCACACCCACACACAAACGCATATAAATAACACAAATACAACTGGATAAATCTGAAATTAAAATAAATTATGATTCATCCTAACGTGGTTAGTAACTTCTGTCAAATATCAGAAAGGTTTTTGTGGAGATTGTAGTAATTTCAATAGTTAGGATCATGAGTTAATTGAAGCTAGACCACCATGGAAAAATTGGAAGCAGTGGACGGCCGTTTCATCCTATTGTGGACTTCTCAGCAGTGCGCATCCACAACCCCTTCTGATGGTTGGGCCATGTGTTACGTACGCCTTTACACCGATTATCACGACACGCAACGCGTGACTATCGTAACCAATGGTTGGAGACTCTGGGTGACATGGATCAGAATCGATCACAATGGCGTCAGTGTATACACTCTCTGTCTTCCCTTAAACTAAGAGATTAAAATCGCTTCATATCTTACTTTCTACCAACTAATTCTTTCTTCCTGCACTAGATCCTCATATGCAATCTTTCTTTTATATATTACCACCACTGAGTTAACTGCTTCTATGAATTCGATGTTCATTTTGTTGTGCTAATCAGGTATGGCAACTTGAACCGATGCACATATGTGCCTGGTTCTACGTTGTAGCTGACTGACTGACTGACTGATATGAACTAATTGAAGTTTCCGCAAGGTAAGGGATTTGTGGAAATCGGTCAAGTTGAAGTCGATTCTCATCATGCACCGACATCAGTTACGATATTAGGAAGTAATTAACAGTTGTTTTAACATACCATAGAACTTTTCTATTAATAAACTTTCAAAACACTATATGAAACAGAAATCAAGAATTTTATTTCTAAAGGAATGTATCTTTCTTGAATCTTAACAATGGGATTATTCAAACTGTAGAAGAAATTGAGAAAAGACGTTTGAAGTGGTTAAGACATACATCGAGGAAATCATCAAACTGCATCACAAGACAAACACCAACATGGAATCGTAAATGGAAACAAAAAAGAGGAAAATCAAAGAACATACTGGATTGGGAATTAAAAGTAGACATGAAAAATATCAACAGCATCTGGAAACAACTGGAATAGATTGTTTAGAACAGAGTTCGATAGAGAATCCTGATGGGGGGGAGGGGCGACCTATTCTCTTCCATGATAAGTAACAGGTGTAAGTAACTAAGCATGATCTAAATTCTTCATTTATATATTACATAATCAGTTATTTATAATTGCGGTCTATCCATACTATCCATACTTCAAACATTTGTTTACCTCCCCCCTTCTTCTTCTTCTTCTTCTTCTTCTTCTCCCTTCGTTCTTCTTCCATCTTTTACATTCATTCTAATTAAATAAATATGAAACCCATTGAATATATATCACGTTCAATATTCCATAACAAAGGCTTCATCAATGATAAACTCTTTTTTTGGAAATAAAGATGTATAATCCTTTATTCTTTATAATTTTATTTCATCTAGCCATTTTCTTTTACTCTATTCCCCCCTCCCCCGTTTTATTTAGTTGTTCGTAAGCATAAGGGAGAATGCTAGTCGGCAGCCTATGCTCCATTAGGAGTAACCGGCGTAAGTAAGTAAGTAAGCATAAGGGAGAGGGGAGGGTAAAGTGTTTACATTCTATTTCAATGTAAATATATACAATAAAACAATAATAAACTTAACACGTTTCTTTTGTTGTTTTTTTGTGTATAAGAGGGAAAAAGTACGTGTTGGTTACTGAAATACACATAATACAATAATAATAGTTGATAACATTTGTCCAATGTACAATGATATAATCATAAGGTGGCATAACTTGTTTAATAGTTGAATTCATGAGTGAATTAAAGCTAGACCATCATAGAGAACCTAGAAACATTGAACGGCTGTTTCGTCCTAGTATTGAACTACTCAGCAGTATGCATCCACGATCCCACTCGTGAGATTCGAACCCAGGACCTGTTGGTCTCTCACGCATGAACCTTTAGACCACTGAATCGACATTCAATGGTGTTAATGTCTAGCTTTAATTAAATCATTAATTCAACTATTAAATTAATAAAACCTCCACAAAACCCCTTCTGATAATAATCATCATGTACTCACTAGTGACTAGCTTGAAGATGGATTTCATGGAGTTCTAGTGAGAAACCGTGATCAGTGAAGTTCAACCAGGTCTGTTGTGAAACAGTTACTCATTGAAGACAATAGTGGATTGGTTGAAGTTAGACATTATTAACACCATCGGATGCTGGTTCATTGATCTAGAGGTTAAGCGTTTGTACGTGAGACGGACGGTGTTATATTGGAGTCCCTTTAGTGTGGGATCATGGATGTACACTACTGAGAAATCTCATACTGGAACGAAACGGTCATCCAGTGCTTCCAGATTTTCCATGATGGTCTATCTTCAACTGACTCATGAATTCAACTATTAAATTACTAAAATCCTTACAAAACCCCTCTTCTGTCATAACTTGATGTTTAGATAGCTAAAAAGAGAAAATCTTTGAATGATGAATTTTTCAGTGATAAACTCATAAAATATGTGCTACTTTCTTCATTAATTAAAAGATCATTTCAAATAGGAGTGAACAATGGTGTCCAGGACACAAACATTGTTTTTACTACTCGGGTTTTTTCGACCAACCTTTTCTCTATTATGTTCTTGATGGTCCTAAATTTATGTAATAACTCTTCATTAAGAGGAGACATACTTACTTATTTACGCTTGTTAATCCTCGTGGAGGAACATAGGCCACTCACCAGCATTCTCTATCCAACCCTGTCATGGACAATTCTTTCCAGCTCTTTCCAGTTGTAACTCATCAACTAGATTTAATGAAAATCTTGACGACATTAATGCTCCCTGTGGGGTTCGAACTCAAAAAACCCAGCTGCATTATGCAAGACTGAGTTATTGAGTCAGTGACTTATATAGCGCAATATACATAATATTTACACACTAGTTGATCACCTACTACTAACAAGCATTATATTACCTTTAACGACAGAGTTTATGATGGAATTAAGTCAATCAAGCTGTTGTATGACCACTAAGCGTAGTAGTTGTATATTTAAATGACTATTTGAACATAGTTTAAAATAGAACATTCTAAATTCTTTTACTCAATGTTTGAGATTGATTGGTCACTGGGTAGTGGCCAATGTCATATATGTCAGGTCCATATTATTGCAGATCAAATTCTATCGATCAAGTCTCAATATGACTACTAGTTGAAGTGACTCGACATCCCATGCACTATATTGAGGTAGAAGGTGGTGGTTGAAAGCAGTCGACAAGAAACCTTGGATCTATGTTTCTTACTGTCTAGCACTCTTCAGAAAGGTGTATTTGTAATCTTGGGGAAACCAATGTTTCTTGGTTGATTAAATTCCGTGTCAAACAGCTTCATAGTCAACTTGATCGATAGAATTTGATCTGCACTAACAAAGATCTGGCATATATAATATTGATCACTGCCTAGTGAGCAATCAATGTATACATATATCTTAGTCCTATAGGATGTCACTAGCGATCCAGACAGCTCAATGGTACCATTTCTAACTGTGAAGCTGTGTGATACATGATACCATCCCGCAGGAGGCATCAGTTTCCTCAAGATTACAGATACACTTTGCTGAAAAGTACTATAGTAAGAAAACTAAGTCTAAGATTTCCTGTCAATCACCTTTAACCATCACCATTATTCAGTGTTATACATTTGTATACACACACACTAAACGTCAGTTCTCTTCTAAGGTCACCGTATACGTTAACAACTGACTACCTACAGAATATTTAAACGTTTTTAAGCCATCAATTACAGCTGAGGAGTCCCATACTAGGACTAAACGGCCATCTAGTTCAATCACCCTGTATTCTTTGTGTTAAGAGAAATAAGTAATTCATTCTATTTAATGCATAAAATATAGGATCATAAAATATGAAAAAACAATAAACCTTATTATGTATAGAATTGGGACATTTTTATTATAAAACTGAATGACAGTTTTATAGATCATTAAGTATAATTTATGAATAATAAAAAGATTCATTTTTATTACTTGTAATAGTAGCAATAGTAGTCGTAGTCGTAGTAGTAGTCGTAGTAGTAGTAGTAGTAGTAGTAGTAGTAGTAGTAGTAGTGGTCGTAGTCCTAGTCGTAGTCG